CAGATACTCCGCGTACTAAAGTTGTACTACAAAGTCGCCAGTTCTCATCTTCCAGCTCCCCGGCTACTCCGCGTACTACAGTGTACTAGCAAGTCACCAGTTCTCATCTTCCAGCTCCCCAGATACTCCGCGTACTAAAGTTTTACTACAAAGCTGCCAGTTCTCATCTTCTTCCAGCTCCCCACATACGCGCGCACATGGGACTCATCGCACTGTCGTCTGCATTTCGCGCCCTCGACACGCACAATCTCCGCAGGGTTGCGCCGGACAAAACCAAATCGCACTCTCGCCTGCATTTCGCGCCCTCGACACGCACGATATCCGCAGAGGGTTGCGCCGGACAGAACCAAATCGCACTCTCGCCTGCATTTCGCGCCCTCGACACGCACGATCTCCGCAGAGGGCTGCGTTTCGTGGTGCTCCGGCGGCACCGCCCCCGGCCTTAAGAGATAAAGTAAAGAAGAGCGAGAGGTGAAGATGTGAGATGTAGATGTGAGGATGTGAAGATGAGCAGAGATGTCGATGTGCAGATATGAACATGAGCAGAGATGTCGATGTGAGGATGTGAAGATCAGCAGAGATGTAGATGTCCAGATGAGAAGATGAGTGGAGATGTAGGAAGACGAGCAGAGATGTGAAGATGAGCGGAGATGTAGGTGTGCAGATGTGAAGATGAGCAGAGGTGTAGATGTGAAGATGTGAAGATGTGAAGATGTAGATGATACGTAGTTCTGCAGATGTTTTTTTACGAAGAACCCTTCGCAGACGCTCTCGGGAAAAGGACCAAAAAAGCCCGAGACATGGAAAACGGTCGATGGTTTCATACCTGGATCTTCCAACTGTGCAGAATTTCTGCCTTTTCATCCACTAAATCGAAGTCATAAATGTTGCACAGTTGGAAGATCCATAGGTAGTCTTTTCCCTAGGCTTCGCGGCCAACGCTTGATTTCATGCTTGCACCGTGGGTCTCCCGCGCGTGGACGACCACAGGTGAAAGACCACACCACCATTGGTTACCAGGCGGAACTTACACGAGGACAACAGGTCAACCACCCGTCGACGCGAGTTCACAGCCCTTTCCTGGTCCGAACCAAACGCATGGGGATTGGTGAGAAGGTCCAGACCCCTGACCAGTTTGGAAAAACGGGTGCGAGTCCAGGGTCGCGTCTGTGCATTTCTTTTAAAGGTCGGAAGGCGACCGCGTTGGCTCGGGATTTGGGAAGGAAAGGGAGAACTCCGCCAATCCAGTGGTGTTCAAGAATGGCTTTCTCCTGAAATCCACACATTGGTTCCTGTCGTCTAGAAGGTGCTTTGATTGCTTTTGTGTTCTTGCCAAGGTGTTTTTGTGTTCCTGTCGGGCTATTGGTTCCCGCACCTTCCAACGTTCTTGAGGTGATGACCAAGAACTGGACGAAGCCCGTGCACACTTGTCGCTGCTAGACCAGGACGGCCCGGCCGCGGCAGCGGGCACGAAGAAACCACGATGTCCGCCTTGTTCGCCCTCTCAAGAGGGCTCACACTGCGGAGGATGAGCACCAGTAATGCGAAGAAGGTTCGAGGCTCTTGGCTCCTGCAGACCCTTGCCTGGGCTTTCCCTTATAGTGTCATACCGACCTCTATCTTCCAACTGTGCATGGCGTTTCTGCCTGATAAAACCCAGGTTCACCACCTGTAGTCGGGTCCCGGCCGAACCTTGAAGGGGTGCTGGGGAAGGTGACCTGGCGCGCGGATTGACGACGCGCTCCGTTTTCGTGAGTGAAAACCGCCCGACTCCTGCAGCCCGAACCAAACCATACCAACAGAGGTTGAAGGACCCGAACGTTCGCCTATCCCAGTTGGGTACCCCAGGTTACGGTCCTATAAGGTCACTTAACCTCTCTTGGTATCCTAGATCTTCCAACTATATGCAACATGTATGCCTAACTTGGTTGATCGAATGAAAAAGGCAGAAATGACCTGCACGTCCTTGGAAGATCCCGACAATTGGTGAGAAGCGACCCCTGACCAGTGAACGGCTGAGTTCACGATTCGGAACGGAGCGCGCCAAGCCACCCGACGGCCTGAAGCCATGTGACCTGAAACCCGTCAAGTTCGGTCCACCAACAGAGGTAGCGAAGAAGTGACCTGCCGGTCGACGCGACCCGAACTCGGCCCCCGAATCCTGAAAGGAGGGGTCTGGACCCGAAGCCTTTGGAGGGGTCTGGACCTTCTCACCAATCCCTAGGGTTTTGTTCGGGACCAGTCGAGCTGTGCACGGAGCGTCTGGGTGAACGAGGACCCGATCGATCCTGGGGTACCGGTCAACCAGCAGTCACAGAGCTCGCTCGCTTGGGATGCCGAAAACGGAGGTAGTTGGGGTGCCCTCCAATGGGACTGAAAACCACCCCGAGCGACATGTGACTCCTGGTCGGATAGTCTAGTTACAGAATCTTGGCTCCTAAACGTGCCAGTGTAGAGGCCGGTCGAGCCCATGGAGCCATCCGGCCCCAGGGTTCTTCAACCTCTGTTGGCATGTCCGTCAAGTTCACTTCCGTCGGGCTGGATTTCGGCAGATCGGGTGATCTCGTCGATCGGCACCAGACATCTCGAGTGCGGTCGCCGTTTTCGCGCCAAGAGAAGGTGCCGGTCGACGCGATCCTGGACCCGAATCCGAACTGGTCAGGGGTTTGGTGTCTGACATCTTTGTAACTCTATGGTTATCACCTTCTCGCAGGGTCTGAAGAGGTTGGTTCAATCCAAATTGTTGGGGGGGTGATTCCACCATAGCGCACGAGTTCTGAGAGACGAGCGCCACCAGACCCTCTCAGGAGTCCAGCGATTGGGAGAACAAGAAGGGAATGCATCGAATTATTGCACCGGAAGCACTATATCCCATGTGGGGGGGTGATTCATCAAGAGTCCATATATCCCAGATCCATGCATTGATATGGCTTAGCCAGACGCATCTAAAGATTCTCAGAAGTGTCCCAGAATTTGTGCATTGATAGAATGATGGCTGCTGACCCTAAGCTTCTGAGCTTGCTGATGACCGTTGGACCCAGAAAGAAAACAGGTCGTTCTCGATCGGTTTTGTCTCCTTTTTGACCGTCAACAGACGTTTCTCCTCTCGTTCGAGAAGAAGAACCACCTGTTGAATCTTCACACCCCCAAACAGCTCGAGCTCCTCTCGCCCCAATCCTTGGAGCACGAAAGATGTGTGCTCGGCGACTAGCTGCTCGCGCATCAGGACGTCATGGAGGAGTACAAGCGCTTCCAGCAGATCCTGGGCTATGCCCCAGGCATCCCAATGAACTAGCCTTCCGATGTGGTCCGTTCGGCTGCGGAGTGCCCGGCCCCCGTGCCTTTCAGCTGCAAAGCTGCTGATGGCGAGACGAAAAAGGACACGAAGGGTGTGTGTGTGTGTGTGTCAAGCAGCAAGCGACGACGGGCCGGGTTGCCAGTCTCTAGGTAGTGAAAGAGAGATCACCATGGTGTTTGGTGAGGGTATCACTCTGTGTGGTGGCCGAACCTGAAACCGTGCAGAGTACTAGTACATGGTCATATATATAGCGCAAATTCCAAGTGGGGGTGCTTCATCACCTTAACCGGTTGACGTGTTTGTGCCATCCATTCTGAACCTACTGTCACCCAGTCTGTTTGCACCCACGAGTCATCATCAGAAATTTAATCCCTTGGAGAACATCGTGTGCAATCCCGTCGATTGCTTTGGATTGACGCTTGGATGCCCGGTTTCCCGAATCGAAATTTGTGGGGTTCCCTTCACCAACAGAGGTTGAAGGACCCTATAGGACTATAGTGGGGGAGCGAAAGGATAGCCTATAGGGTTTTTCAACCTCTGTTGGCATGACTAGCTTCAGCGACGGACTCTTGGGAGATCCATCCCCATTGGGAGATCCATTTCAACAACGTGGGCCCTTCAATGGCCTTTCGATCTGCCGGCACTCGGGAAGATATGGATTGGACCGGGCTGGGAGCACAGGTTCCTTTGGTTCGCAGATCGCGGAATGGGGCGTTTTGCGCGGGAGGCGCATGCTGAGCCAAACACTCCATGGGACTGGAATATATATTCCTACATTGGACCCTGGATCTTCCAACTATGTTTGCCTAACTTGGCTGGTTGTCTAGATGAAAAGGCTGAACTTCTGCGCAGTTGGAAGATCCACATTGGACCCTGAAAACACCCACATGTATGCAAATATGGCAGTCCCATGTGTCGTGTTTGTGTTAAAATGCCAAGCCCTTCGTCAGTCTCCAACTGGTTTCTCCCACATAAGGTCCGACCCTGTGAGATGGTACGTGCCATAGACCAGGGGCCGGCTGAAAGAAAAACACTATCTACCAGCTTCTTCAAAGTGACCTTTTTGGAGTCCCTAAGTGACCATTTCCAGGCCTAAGTGACCTCAAACCAGGGGAACAAAAGGTCACTTTGAAGAACCTAGATGTGTGTGACTGACCCTGAACTGACCACCGTATACCAGCATGCACTTGCCATGCACGTCTAGGTCTCGTGTGGTCGCCGGCGTCTACGTCTACGTCGTTCTTTTCATCCACGTGGCTTCAGAAGACTGCACTAGAACACATCGATTGATCCCAGCTTCTTTTCATACTCCCCTAAGAATCCGGGCCCTCAAATAGATAGGGTTTGGTTCGGCCCCGGACCCCTGCCAGCTTCTTTTCATACTCCATGACTGATCATCAAAGTCAATGGGTTTTGACAAGATTGAGTCCTTCTGGCGCCGAAAAGAGTGTGACGAGGACCCCCCCGGTCGAGAGGCTGCGCGCTCTCGCGCAGCCAACGTCGACCTCGATCGATTGATGGAACAGTTTTCTGGGCTCAAAGGATCCAGAGTTCAGGCAGACCCGTAGAGCAAACTCACTCTACACTTCCATCCATTTTCATGATGATGCTCAGAAGAAAAGCTCAGCGCGGTCTGGTGGTGTTTGTTGGACGTGTTTTTCCTGCTCACGTGGTTGAGTTCGGGTGTTTCCGGGACCCGAAGAGTTGGACACAAGACCGACCGACCGACTTTTTAGGGTGGTACTTGGAACATCCGGAAGGGTGTTAGGCCCTTTTTTTGCAGGTTTCGGTCTGGGTGACCTGGTTTCAGTCGGTGCTGGTACAGGAAACCCCATCAATTTGGGGGGAGAAAACCATGGGTTTCCTGTAGATGTTCTTAGGACCCACCAAGTCTGGGAAGGGCGTGGACTGGAGAAGTTCTTGCTTTTGGATCCCACCACTGTACCCTGCAGCATACCCGAAGCCAACCAACCATATATATATATATACGATATAATTATACTTCATCCAATGGGTGTCCAATAGACCACTTACAGGTCTCCAGACAGGGCACCCGGTCAGGAAGTGCTAGGTATATGTTTATATGGGTCCGGGTCAAAAACCCGGAACTCTGGTTGACCCGTGAAAATGAATCGATTCCTCTATGTGCCACCGAAACCATGGTTGGTAGGGTGCGGTTTTGACCCCACAGCCATATAGCCATCCACTGATAGGAGGGGCAGGGTGTCGGCGGCCATCCACCGCCGGCCTCCTGCCGCCCTTTCCTCCAACCTGTTTCAACTTCACCCTCAGCCAAGACCTGAGCCATCTAAGAAAGCCAGGCCGGTAGCCGGTAGATGAAGCGCAACTTACGTGGAGAAACTACCCCTGCGATGTTCTTCAAGCTATACATCCGTGCTTTCCAGAATCTGATGCAGAGCTCACCCCAAAATCCTTCTTGCATTCATGCGCTTGATTCATTCTGGCTTCGCCGGCTTTTCTGTGGCACTCTGGGTCTCTCTCCTTCCTTCTCTCCTCTGCTTTCACGACCTCCGCCCACGAGAGGATGTCTTACCTGTGTGTCCTGATCCTTCGGTCATATCCTGATCCTTCGGTCACTTCAAACCAGCAGAGGTTGAACAACCCTACCAGGACACCCTAAGGTGTAAAAAGCCAACAGGCCAGTTCAAAGTTTCCTCTCTTGCATGCAC